TGGGACTGAATCTTTTTGCTCGGTTTGTGAGGTCTTTTTGTTCTGTGTCTTGCGGCATGTGGAACAAGTTTCTGTTATGCCTGGGAAGAAGGGAATCTGGTTAGAGAGGAGGACTGTGCTCCCTATGCCTTTGCCAGGCAAGCTAATTGCAACATTTAATTCAGGAAGAGTTGAGACAAGGCCAGAAAGAAAGAGGAACCAGGCCTGCCAGTGTTCAGAGCAGGAACACCTGCGAAGTTACAGTCCCCAGGTGCAGGCTGGGAAACAGAGGGTTTACGTTTGTCACTGAAATTCATCGTCTTGTTGGCTGTGTGTCTGGAAGTTCCGAGGGAGCGTTCCTGATGCTAAGGGAAAAAGAGGTGAGGTCCAGGAAGAAATGCTAGGGGAAGGAAGGGGGGATTAGGAACCCCAGCGAGAACTGGGGTGTAGCTGGGTGCTTGAGAATCGCCACTAAGAAATGGAGACCAAACACCAAGTGCCTGGTGCCGGGCATCCTAACACTGGAGTGAGAAACTCAGATCCCAGGACACCGTCCAGAGGAAAGCGAGATCCCACGAGAGACCCCACCCCTTCAGCTCCCACGAGAGACCCCACCCCTTCAGTGGCTCTCTCCAGGCCAACAAGCTTTACGATAAGACAAGACGGGGCAGACATGGGCGTGGTTTCTGCCTACAAGAAGGAGTTGAGAGTGGGATGCAAGGGGGCTGATGAAGCCCTTGGCAGGGGCAAAGTTTTTCTTCTTCCCCAAAGCCCAATCTAGTGACGTCATCTCACACCGCCCAAGACTCCGCGGCCTGGAGTACGATTGCTTGGGAAAGAGGAGAAGGCAAGTCCAGGCGAAGCAAGGCTAGGACTGCATTAAGCCCCGGGACAGCGGGAACCTTTTCCCGAGGCTGTGTGGCAGGGTGTGGCTGTCCTGACGGATGACCTGGCCACATGGCCCATTTCTGGCCTGCAACAAGAGGACAGTAGTGATGGTGATGGGGCAGTCACAGAGCCCTGACGGAGGATCGGCCCGTTACGCAGCGATCTGTTTCACACTCTGGGCCGATGCAGTAGGGGATTCCTTATTGCTGCTTTATGGAGGAGTGGGCTTGAGCTGGAAAGTGGTGCAGACAAAATGGAATTCTCACCGAGGGTGGGCTCTAGGCCTGTTTTTGTAAATAAAGTTTTATTGGGACACAGCCGTACTCCTTTGTTTCGGTATTGCCCGTGGCTGCTTCGGAGCTGCATGAGCAGTTAGTTTACTGTCCAACTGTCCATGGCTTTATCGAGCAAGTTCTTTTTTTTTTTTTTTTTTTTTTTGGCAGGCAGAGCCAGACAGAGAGATAGAGAAAAAGGTCTTCCTTTTCCATTGGTTCACCCCCAAAATGGCCACCACGGCCAGCACGCTGCACCGATCCGAAGCCAGGAGCCAGGCACTTCCTCCGGGTCTCCCATGCCGGTGCAGAGCCCAAGCACCTGGGCCATCCTCCACTGCCCTCCCGGGCCACAGCAGAGAGCTGGACTGGAAAAGGAGCGACCAGGACAGAATCTGGCGCCCCAACTGGGACTAGAACCCGGTGTGCCGGCGCCGCAGGTGGAGGATTAGCCAAGTGAGCCGCGGCGCCGGCCAATCGAGCAAGTTCTGAGACCCTTGCTCTCTATGGCCCAGGGAATACTCTTCACCCCACAGGTGTCCTATTGCAACAAATGCCTCATGTTTAAAAAATGATGCTGACAGGGCGGCGCTGTGGCGCAGTAGGTTAATCCTCTGCCTGCAGCGCCGGCATCCCATACAGGCACCGGTTCTGGTCCCAGCTACTCCATTTCCCATCCAGCTCTCTGCTACGGCCTGGGAAAGCAGTAGAAGATGGCCCAAGTCCTTGAGCCCCTGCGCCTGTGTGGAAGACCCAGGAGAAGCTCCTGGCTCCTGGCTTGGGATGCACTCAGCTCCAGCCATTGTGGCCAACTGGGGAGTGAACCAGTGGATGGAAGACTTCTCTCTCTCTCCCTCTCTCTCTCTCTCACTATCTGTAACTCTACTTCTCAAATAAATAAATAAAATCTTAAAAAATGATGCTGACTAGGAAAAACAAAGCTAAAACATCAGAAATATCACTGGCCACCGGGGAACTGACTGTACCAGGGGTCCAGGAATATTAAAAGCCAACGGCACAAACTTCCCTTCCTCTGTCCCCTCAAAATTTGAGAGTGCGTATCTGCGGGATTTTAAACAAGTAAAACAAAAAAGTCCTTCATTGCCTTCTCCCAGCTTTTTGAAACAAGCGCATCTAAGAAATCAAAAGTCTGCTCCCGTGTTCCCCAGCAGGCTGAAACAGGGAAGAAATGAAATAGGTTTCGCTGAAGACATAAGAAATGAGTCTTTTCTGTGGGCCATTTTCAAAGCTTCCCGTGGAATACGTTGCTAAATCAAGCCCATGGCCGATGTGGATATTTCAGGGGGGAACTGACCGCTGGAGACCTTAGGAACCGACTTGTGTTGGCGTGTGAGCCACGTTTCCAGCGCTGTCGTACGGCTCAGTTTTCCAGGATTGATGAAGGTAGCAAGGTACGGTATTGAGGTTTTACAAAAACAGCAGAGAACTGGATCAGCACGGATGTCTTCAGTGTCCGTAACATGCTAGGTCCCCGGCTGTGATACTTTCTTTCTTTTTTTAATTTTCAAGTTTTTAAAACAATATTAACTTTTTTCAAATATTTATTTATTTGAAAGGAAGAGTTACAGAGAGAGAGGGAGAGACAGATCTTTTGTCTGCTGCTTCACTCCCAGGATTTTCACAATGGCCAGGGCTGAGCCAAGCCAAAGCCAAGAGCCGGTATCTCCATCCGGGTCTTCCACGTGGGTGGGGCCCAAACTCTTGGGCCATCTTCCACTGCTTTCCCAGGTGCATTGGCAGGGAGCTGGATGGGAAGTGGAGCAGCAGGTGGTGGCTTACCCTGCTGCGCCACGATGCTGGCCCTGGGTGTTTGATTTTCATTTTCTGGATAAGAAAAGGCCCAGGTGCACAGTTGCCCCAGCTGTTCTATGAGGAGGCGATCCCCAAAGCCTGACCCACAGTTCCACACTCTCTTCCCTCTGACAGAAGGCCTGACGCCCACTGCTCACCTTGGAGTCAGCCAGCTCTGCCCTGCTCCCGTGCCTGCCGCTTGCCGGGCACGGCTGTGAGTGCTGGGAATTCCGCAGTGAACAGGACAATGATTCGGTCACGAGTCCCTGGACAGGATATCTTCTGAGGATGAGGAGGAGTGGTAGGAAGGAAACTACCCAGCATATTTGGGCTGGGGAGTGGGCAGAGGTCAGAGTCACAGTAGGGGCTGGGAAGACACGGGGAGACCCGGAGGCTGAGTCCCAGCCCCGAAAGGAAGGTTTCGATGCTGGAAGGAAGGTGCAGGCAGAGCTGGAGGAGCACAGGTGCGCTCCTCGAGGGGGAAGCTCACGCATGCAACGCTAGGAAGTTCCGTGGACTCCCTGTGCTTCCTGCAGTTTAGCAGCCACTGAATTCTTGTCCCTGCTTGAAAACCTTGGGTGCTGCTCTCCAAGTGCCAGGGTTAGCTGGGAATTTGTCATCAGGTCCAAGATGTGTGGCTCGGGTGATCTAACACTGTTGTCCCTGTGCCCTGGAGAGACAGGAGCAGGGGGCTCCTCGTTTGTGATGGGAAATAGTGAGTCACCGGTCTGTGAGGCACACTATGCCTTGTGCTGACTGCTTACTAGTATCCTCTCATTTAATCTGCCCAACAGTGCATCGGAATATTGTAGAACAGTAGGCTTTTTTTTTTTTTAAGATTTATTTATTTATTTGAAAGTCAGAGTTACACACAGAGAGGAGAGGGAGAGGGAGAGGGAGAGGGAGAGGGAGAGAGAGAGAGAGAGAGTCTTCCATCCACTGGTTCACTCTCCAAATGGTCACAAAAACCAGAGCTGTGCCGATCCGAAGCCAGGAGCCAAGAGCTTCTTCTGGGTCTCCCGCGAGGATGCGGGGGCCCAAGGACTTGGGCCATCTTCTACTGCTTTCCCAGGCCATAGAAGAGAGCTGGATCGGAAGTGGAGCAGCTGGGACTTCAAGTGGCACCCATATGGGATGCCGGCACTGCAGACGGCGGCTTTACCCGCTACGCCACAGCGCTGGCCCCCAACTGTGGTCTTTTTATCTCAAGATTTATTTACTTATTTGAAAAGCAGAGTGACACAGAGAGTGCGACGGCCAGGGTCAGGCTGTGTGGAAGCCAGGAGCTCAGGACTCTGCCTGGTCTCCGTCACGGTGGCAGGGACCCTGGTACTGGGGCCATCACCTCTTGCCTCCTGAAGCGTTAGCAGGGAGCAAGATCGGAGCTGTGGAGGAGCAAGGACTTGAACCAAGCTCTCCAGATGGGAGGCGGGCATCCCAAGTGGTGTCTTAACCTACTATGCCACAAAACCTGCCCTGAGGAATAGACTAACGTAGGAGCAGCGCCACTGCTAGTCTCAACAAACTTAGTGTCTAGAATCTACGTATTTACTTATTCCTAAAACATGCCCCTCACGCCTCAGTTCACAGTAACCCTTTTCCTACAGTTCAGGGAAGTATGCATGTGCGTGTAGATGTGTTGTGTCTGTATTCTGTGTGTATACGTGTTATGTGTGTATCATGTTTGTATAGGTTTGTGTTTGCATTTTGTGTACATACATGTTATATGCAATGTGTTATGTATATGTGCATTATCCATGAGTGTGATATGTGCATGTGTTATGTATGTCTGCAGCATATGTGTATGACGTGTCTTAGGTATGTATGTGTTAGGTGTGTATAGCCTGTGTTATGTATGTGTATGTGTCTTATGCATGCACATTATGTGTGTATGTGTTGTGTACATATCTGTATTATGTATGATGTGTCTATTGTGTGCATGTGCCTAATGCATGTATGGTGTGTGCCGTGTGTATACATATATGTGCGAAGCCTCACAGCCCGGACGTTCAGATTCCAGAACGGTCTGGCTGAGGCACGAGAGGCTGCATGGCCAAGGAGCTTGTGGGCGATGCCCGTGGAACACACTTGGAGCAGGAGTTGACCCCTTTCTTTGTAAAGGGCCAGATGGTAAATATTTTAAAATGTTGATTGATTTTTATTTTATTTGAAAGGCAGAGACATCGAGAGAGAGAGGGAGAGAGAGAGAGAGAGAGAGAGAGAGAGAGAGAGATTCTCCACCTACTGGTTCCCTTCCCGAATGCACACAGCCAGCCAAGGCTGGAGCAGATGGAGCCAGGACCTGGGGCTCCACCAGCCTCCTGTGTGCGAGCAGGAACCTGAGTACTTCATCTGCTGCCTTCCCCGGTGTGCACGAGCGGGAGGCTGCTCAGAAGTGCAGGAGCCGAGACGCGAACCCGGCATCAGTGAACGTTTTAGGCTCCGTGGGCCTCAGTTCTGCTGTGGCAGTAGGGAGAAAGCCGTGCACAGTCCAGAGCGAGCGGGCGCGGCGGTGTTCTCGTCAAGCTTTGTTTACAGAAGCAGGTGACAGGCCGAATTTCCCCGTGGGCTTCCGTTTGCTGACCGCTGGCTTCGACCAGTCATGGTTCATCTCCTGGCCCTGGGCTCATCTTTGAATACCTTGCTGACTAAATTTGAACCAGTGGGGGTCCCCTTAGATAGGAAGACCGCGGTGACGGCGTTGGAGGGTGGAAGCCATTGCCGTCTAGTTCTGGCAGAGGTCAGTGTCCGGTACAGCCTCCCTGTGGCTTGTCATAAAACCAAGTCTCTGTCCAAATTCTGCCACGCTCACAGCCAAGCTCCCACTGGCGTAGCAGGTGCAAAACAGTTCACGCGACCTGTGCTGGAAGCTTGGGAAGAGTCTCAGCACACCGGTGGCGCCAGTGTCCTGGTCACACCCTGGTCACACACTGCTCAAGGCGGGCACAGCAGCCTTGCGGAACTGGCTCCGGTGCTCTCCCTCCTGTGGGGAGTAACCAGAATTGATGGGTGAACAAGGCAGGGGAGGGTGCAGGTGAGGCGTGGACTGTGGCCTGCAAGACTGCTCCAGTCACCAGCGAAAATCCATTTCCAATATCGCCACGCTAATGATAGTGGCCTTTTGTCTCTTTTTTATTTTTATTTTTTTTTATTTTTGACAGGCAGAATGGACAGTGAGAGGGAGAGAGACAGAGAGAAAGGTCTTCCTTTTTGCCGTTGGTTCACCCTCCAATGGCCGCCACGGCCGGCGTACCGCGCTGATCCGATGGCAGGAGCCAGGAGCCAGGTACTTCTCCTGGTCTCCCATGGGATGCAGGGCCCAAGGACTTGGGCCATCCTCCACTGCACTCCCTGGCCACAGCAGAGAGCTGGCCTGGAAGAGGGGCAACCAGGACAGAATCTGGCGCTCCGACCGGGACTAGAACCCAGTGTGCTGGCGCCGCAAGGCGGAGGATTAGCCTAGTGAGCCGCGGCGCTGGCCCTTGTCTCTTTTTTTAAAATAAAATTTTATCAGAACACAATTGTGCCCATACCTTTACATCTGTCCATGTCTTCTCAAAAACTAGAAAAGGACAAAAAGGGAGGAGACAGGAGGGTAGGAAGGAGAAAGGGCGAGGGAGGGAATACCATCATATTCTCAGGATTGTATCTACAAGCCATATTTAATCTGTTAAAAGCTAATTAAAAATTGGGGTCGGCACTGTGGCGCAGCGGGTTAAAGCCTTGGCCTGAAGTGCTGGCATCCCATATGGGCGCCAGTTCGAGTCCCTGCTGCTCTGCTTCTGATCCAGCTCTCTGCTATGGCCTGGGAAAGCAATGGAAGATGCCCAAGCCCTTGGGCCCCTGCATCCGCGTGGAAGACCCGGAAGAAGCTCCAGTTGTTGCAGCCAATTGGAGAGTGAACCAGCGGATGGAAAGCCTCTCTCTCTGTCTCTACCTCTCTCTGTAACTCTGTCTTTTGAATAAATAAAATAAATCTTTAAAAAAAAGCTAATTAAAAATTTAAAAAAAGAAAATAAATATAGCAAACAATAAATATTGACGTGTCAACTTATTTAAAAAATGATTTATTTAGCAAGCGCCGCGGCTCACTAGGCTAATCCTCCGCCTTGTGGCGCCGGCACACCGGGTTCTAGTCACGGTTGGGGCGCCGGATTCTGTCCCGGTTGCCCCTCTTCCAGGCCAGCTCTCTGCTGTGGCCAGGGAGTGCAGTGGAGGATGGCCTAAGTGCTTGGGCCCTGCACCCCATGGGAGACCAGGAGAAGTACCTGGCTCATGCCATTGGATCAGCGCAGTGCGCCGGCTGGGGCGGCCATTGGAGGGTGAACCAACGGCAAAGGAAGACCTTTCTCTCTGTCTCTCTCTCTCTTTCACTGTCTAACTCTGCCTGTCAAAAAAAAAAAAAAAGATTTATTTGTTTGTTTGTTTATTTGAAAGGCAGAGCTATAGAGAGGAAGAGGCGGGGGGAGGGGGGAGACTTCTATCCACTGGTTCACTTCCCAAACAGCTGGGCCAGGCTGAAGCCAGAAACCAGAAGCTTCATCATGGTCTCCCATGTGGATGCAGGGACCCAAGCACTTGGGCCATCCTCAGGTACTTTTCCAAGCACATTAGCAGGGAGCTGCAGCGGAAGTGGAGCAGCCAGGACCTGAATTGGCACCCACATGGAATGCTGGCGTTGCGGTGGAGGCTTAACCTGCTGTGCCTCAGCACCGGCCTCCATGGCTGCTTTTGAACAAAGCTGAGCAGTTGTAATAGGGGTCACATGGCCACAACGTGACGAGATCCGCTCCTTTACAGAAACTGACCTTGGTCGCATCAGTTGGCACACTGCCTGGCACACAGGGGATGCTCATAGGACACTGCTGGGTGCTTATCACCATTTAATCCTCCTCCCACCCGTGCAGGTGGCTGCTACTCCGGGCTCACAAACTTATACCCCCAATTCCTGAAATCTTTGCAATCCCCAAAGCCACGCTTTGAAAAAGCAAACTACGGCAGCCTCTGATCTGCTCTGACTGGGCTCATTTGGTTGCAAAATGCCACCAGAGTTCTGGCAAGGCCACGGCCAGCCTGTGGAGGCTGCCTGTGCCACCTTGTCCACTCGTCCACATGCCAGCTGGGTGCGACCTCAGACCCTGCAGGAGGGACTGTGTGATCTGAAGCACGGGCACTTCATCATAGTCCGAAAATCTGAAAATTCGGAATTCCAAATTCCCTGGCTGTCAGGGTTTGGATAAGAGATTTGGAGGTGCATTGCCCTCATTTTAAAGCTGGGGAGTATTGAGACTAAATAGGGATGCCAGTGAGAGGGGGCGGAGCCTGACTCTGCATCCCAGAACCTGAGTGGAGTCTGTAACTAGCAGGTCGCCTTGGCAAACTGACCGGAGCTTGTTGGCTGGCTGGCTGGAGGGGAGCATGGAGCCTCCTGGGCCTTGCTCTCACTCCTGGGCCCCTTTGCCTGCTGCTAGAGCGAGCCTGGTTCTTCCTCTGCCCCCAGCCCATCACCCCAGAGTGAGGGCTGCAGCTGGAGAGATGATGCAAAATATGCAGGGACCCCGCCCCAGGGGCTGCATTCTGTGGGATTTTCTGCAGGCCTGGCTCCCGTCTCTGTGAACCGGGTGAGAACACTCACCAGTACCAGGCCAGGGAAAGAGAACGGACGCTGCGCCAGCCCCAGGGTGTCCCAGCACAGGTCCTCGTGACACAGGACGGCCTTCTCTCTGACTTCAGGAGCTGCTGTGGTCCCCAAACTCCACGCCACACCTGGCAGGGAACGTGTCAGTGTCCGTCGGCCACTTAGGCTGGGATCCAGCCAGAGGGGGAGTGCGGCTGCTCTCGCGAGCGGAACGGCTCCCCTTGGAAGAGCTGAGGCTGCGTCTAGAAGGCAGTGGAAAATCAGTGCGGTTTCCAGCGAGCCAGAATCTTCAAAGGCTGAGAGGAGCGAGGGAGGCTACTGGTCCTGCCCATCCAGTGGTAGGTATTATCAATTACAGCACAGGTGTGGAAGGGCGCACGCTGTACAGTTTCCTTAGGTTTAAAAAGGTGTGTGTGTGTGTGGGTGTGTGAACAGATAGAAAAGGGACCAGCAGAATGCACTCTTACCCTTAGCACAGGAAGTCAATGAGAGACGGGGCGGGGGTGGCAGCGGGGGCGGCGTGTGTGTCAGAGAGGCCGGGGAGTTTCTATTTTCGGCCATGTATGCTTCGGTATTTTTCCTTCACTTGTATAATCTGCAATGAAAATGAGTGCAGTTAAACCGGCACCGACAAACGCCCAGAGATGCAGCTCCGGGAGAAACAGAAAGCCCTTCAACTTCTAAGCACCAAGAAATTCCAGAACACAAAAGAACTTCCTGGTTTGGGGCATTCCTTGTTTAATCATGTCTGGAAGCTGATTTGAATTCTAACCCGCCTGAACTAGGTAGACACCCTGAAACAGTGATTGAAACTTCCCTGTTGAACAAAGGGAAACGTTTCATTCTCTCTCTCTCTCTCTCTCTCTCTCTCTCTCTCTCACACACACACACACACACACACACACACTTTGCTTAAAGCTATAAACTCCTTCATGCTTACTGCTGCGGTTTTGTATTTGTTGTTTTTAAAGGGATAGGAGACATCCAATATGACTGTTAGCCTTGATAATCAGTTCTTTGAAATACACACCCTACTGGATAAAAACATCCAACCGTCCTCTTAAGGAAAAAACCCCACATTTCAGAACCAGCCTTTCAGAGCCCAAGAGCTGGGCAGTGGGTCCTAGACTGTGTGCAAGGTGTTTGGCTTTTGGTTAATCTCATGTCAGAGAACTGGTTTTCTTCTTGTTTGGGGATTATATTTTTTTTTTAATTATTTATTTGAAAGGCAGAATGAGAGAAAGAGTGAGAGAGTGTGTTCGTTTCCCAAATGCCTACAGCAGCTGGGCCAAGCTGAAGCGTGGAGCCACACCTGGAGCCAGGAACTCCACCTGGGTCTCCCACACGGGTGCAGGGGCCCAAGCACTTGAGCCATTGCTGCTGGCGCTCAGGGTGCTCACTGGCAGGAAGCCGGAGTCAGGAGCCGGAGCCAAGCATTGAACCCGGACGCTCCAAAATGGGATTCGGACATGCCGGTTGGCAGCTTAACCTCTGGGCCACGGTCCTGCCCCTGGATGACCCTTTAATCGAAGTTTCACCAGATTGTCCGCGACTTTTGTGTAATTCACTTCTTATACACAGGCGGGGTTCGGGGGAGAGTCGGCAGTGACAGAGGAGCCGCGGCCGGTGGTGATAGTGGCCTGGGGACCAGGTTCCGGCTCCTGTTCCTTGGCACCAACACAGGAATTCAAGAAAACGGTGGCTGCAGGAAGGCCTCCCAGCTATGGATCTGAAGCTGGAGAGAACCTGATTACTGGAGCCCGAATCGCAGGGGCAGAGGGAAGACACGACCTCCGTGAGCAGATCTTGACGCAGGTCGATTTACCCGGACGGCAGGCTCCTCTGGTCGGCAGGTTTGCCAGGATCCCTGGGGCTTTCTGACCGCACAGGTTAGAAAAAGCCTGTTCGCGTTCACCTTTTAGAACGTGTTTACAGTAAAGGAGAATCATACACAATTTTTTTTTTTGTTTCCATTGATCAAGTGAGATAAAGTCCTTTGAAAGCGTGATCTGATTGTGAGGTTGTGTTGCTGTCTTTCTCACAGCGTTACTGTCACAATATTTCTTATGTGGTCTAACCAGGGAGGAGGGCGGAGCAGGTGACCTCGCGCCGTGACAGATGAGACCAAGAGGCGTGGCCGTGGGGAGTGGAATGGCGTTTGTTCAGGCCTTCCAGGGGAGGCAGGTTTTTCGCAGGCGTCTCCAGGGTTGGGGAAAACTTGCCAAGAGCACAGTAAACCCAGAGAAGGGGTTGACTGAAGCATGATTACCAGGCTCTCACCAGGTGCACCCATGAGCCTTTGCCTGTCCTGCCAGACCCTTGTCTGTTCATCGCCCGAGGCGGTCGTGCAGCTGTGGATCCCAGAGGCCCACACTGGGTGCTGTGAGTGGGTGGCATGGTGGTCCCGGAAACGATCACGGGCGCCCTTTTCCCTGAGGGGTGTGCAGAAAAGGAGCCTGAGTCGCAGGGCGGAAAACAAGGCTGACAGCGCAGCGGGAAGAACAAGAGTGGGACTGACCCTCACTTCCCTCTTCAGTGGGAGGCCAGACCGTCCCAGAGGTAGATGCTGATGCACATGTTAAGAATTCTTTTTCACAATGGGCTTCCGGTGCAACAGCTAAGTCGTCACTTGGGACACCTGTGGGGAGCAACTGGGAGCAACTCGGACTAGACTAAGTTACTGGAATTAAGACTTATTCTATGCATCTGCTCTCCCACAATATGGCGCTGGGAGAGGAGAAAACAGCTTCTACGCAGCTGCCTCTTGCCAACTTGAGTGATGACCTGCAGGAGCTGATCCTGCTCCTGATGGAGGAGAGCAGCGTACTCGGCCTGTGGGTAGCAGAGTTGGGATTGGTGGAAGAGGACTATAAAGGAGGAGAGAGACAACATGCACCAGGAACATCTAAGGGGAACATCTATCTGAAGGGACACCTGTGCAGCCCCCGAGAGAGCCGGCCGGCGGTGTGCCGCTCCCCTGCGGAAGTGGGGAAAGTGGCCAGGGGGAACCGCCCTTCCACGGAGGTGGAAGGGACGGTAGCCAACCCGGGAAGAACCAGCAGCAAACCCGGGGAGGGCCGAGCAGACAAAAGAACAGCGCAGGGTCCTGTGTCGTTCCTCCACGAAGAGGGGGAGCGACATAATGGTGCCGTGACTCGGATATGAAGCCTAGGCAGGGCTTAGTGTCGTTCCTCCACGAAGAGGGGGAGCGACAGACACCCACATCCCATATGAGGGTCCCTGGGTTCGAGTCCCAGCCGCTGCATTTCTGCTCCAGCTCCCTGCCTATGCACACCCTGGGAAGCAGCAGGTGGTGACTCACGTGCTTGGGCCCCCGCCGCCCATGTAGGAGACCTGGGTGCAATTCCTGGCTCCTGGCTTCAGCCTGGCTGGGCCCTGCTGTCGCAGACATTTAAGAAGTGAATCAGTGGATGGAAGAGCTCTCTCTGTCTGCCTTTCAAGTTAAAAAAAGAGAGAGAGAGAGAGAGAAAATAAATAAATACAAATTAAAAAAGAAAAAGCATTCCCTGTTCTTTACACCAGGAGTTCAAAGGCAGTGTCTGGATATCTACACAGATGATCTATTGGGTTTTGCTTAAGGAACAACAAGACAAGGTCAGCAGGGCCAAATGCAAAGCATGCAAATCAGGAGTTGAGAGTGTGGGAGTGAGCGCTGGGATTCCAGGCTGTGCAAAGTGCTGGAAACGTTAGAAAAAGGGCGATAGCCAGTAGCAACCACAGCCCATGTGCACAGGTTTATGTCAGGCGCTATTTGAGGTGTGTCAAGCTGGCCTCTGCCAACACGAACCCGGTGGTAGCTCTGTGCTAATTAGATGAAGGGGGCCCGGGGCCTCCCCCGGGAGCTGCTGCCTCTTTGGGTTGCTGGCTTGTCCCTGTTGGCAGGGGTTCTGCTTGGGAGTGGAGAAACGGCTTCATTTCAGTTGGATCGTTTTCCTCAGCGGGTGCTGGGGGGTAGGGGCACACTCAGGGTGTGTGGTGGTGGCACAGCCGCCACACGTACCCACTGTGAGACCTCATGCGGGATCCTCAGCGTCTTTAAGTCCCTGTGGCTCCATTAAACAAACCAGCATGACGGTGCCGGCCCCTCCCAGAGGCTTGCGAGGAGTGTAGCGTTGAGTGGTGTAGCAAGTGCTTGGTACACAAGGAATACCAAGAAGGCAAAACCAAACACGGCACAGAGAGGGACCAGGATTGTGGGGTCATCTCTTCTTGTTGGGTCATAAACTCCTTGGAGGCGGAGGAGCAGGGGAGACTGAAGTGCCACGGGCTCCGTGCTGCAGGGCAGGCACTGGTTTCTTATCAGCACAAGGTGCAGCCCCGCTCAGTCTGACCATCAGAAAATGAGGCTCGAATTACGTGTACAGTGACGCTGTTCCTTGGACTGTGGGTTTGGGAGCGCTACACTGCAACAGACAGAGTGCATACCCACTACATCTGTGAACTGTTTTCAGAATGTCTCACTGAGTTTGAACGAGCTTGCAAATACTGCGTGTGACGTGAGCGTGCAGCGTGGAGGGACCAGACGCCCGGCAGGTGCATCCCAGAGCTGCCACTTAGAATTTGCGATGCCACACTCTGCCTTAGCTTCCTGAGCTGTAAAATGAGGATAAAAAATGCCCCTCTCTCATAGACGTACTTGTGAGGCTCAAAGGAGAACAAAAAAATCCATGTAAAGTGTGTTGTACCATCCATGGCAAAAAAAAAAACAGTGCTCAAAATGTCAGCTGGTTTAGTGAATTGACTTTTATTATTATTATTATTAAACACAACAGAAACCTAAGGGTGGTTTCTGCTTCTCTTAAAGTTAACCGCACAGGAAATGCCACTCAATCAATGCATGGTAATTGCTCTATCTGTGTTGTCTTTTGTGTCCTCTCCGAGGATGCAGTATGTTGTCTTCAGCCACAAGATGCGCGTGAGGTTTAGCTCCAGGAGAGGAGAGGAGCGGCCGATGGCCTGCGGAGCAGCCAGCCCACGCGTCACTGTGACTGCTGGGGCACGCGGCCCACCCGTGGGCCTCCATCTGTGAGGGAGACACTGCAGCGGTGGGCAGCACGGAGAGGGCGGGAAGGCCCCTGCCAGGGGTGCATGGCAGAGCGGGCTCCCAGCCTGGTGCACAAAGCAAGGAAAATGCCTCCTGCTGCACTCTCTGCTCTGCTTCCTGCCGGGACGATGGTCCCGCCTCCCCTGGTCTCTGGGGACTCCTGAGATGATGCCCAGGGACCTGCTGCTGGAATGAGACCACCCATGGGAAGCCATGTGCCCGTGACGCCAGGGCCCCAGAGACGGGACCCCCCCACCTGCCCGTGATAGCACCAACTCATCCAGGAACAACTCAGCCAGATGGTGAGGGCAGAGGGTCTTCATGACCGTCTGCGTCACTTCTACTTCACCAGGAGACCTCAGTGTTGAAGTTTTCTAACTTGCTTCCCCTTCCTATCAAAGACGCAGCAGCTTTGGTGGGAAGAAGTGGGATTGCAATTTTCATTTGTACTGTGAGATGCGAAAATGAAACTGGTAACTCTTTTTGAAAAAAAAAAAAAAAAAAAGACATAAAAGCTTGTTTCCAGATTTGCACATGGTGTCTGTCTCTGCGAGGACACTCAAGGTCGCCTGGCTGGCACCTGCCACGTGTCAACAGTTAGGGCTGTGGTTCCCGGGAGCCCGGAAGTCAAGAATGAACTTCCCTGGTTCCTCTTGTTGTTTTCTGGTTTGCTTCCCCGAGACCCAACTTGGAGTAGAAAGGTTGATGAAAATCAGTAAAGGGATTTCTACTTCCCCTGCTGATTTGGTAAGTCAAGTGCACGGATGATGCAACCGCAGAACCTCCTGCGTCCGTGGAGAGGGAGATCCCCCAAGCTCTGTTCAGATAGCTGGATTAGCCAAGGTTGCTTCGAGCTTCCCTCGTGTGGAACATCCGGGCTCCTCTGGCAGCACGTTTGCTCTGACTACGTGTCACAAGAATTGCCAAAAGGTGGGCGAAGCAAAAGGATTTTCTTTCATTTTTCGTGTGGACATGAAGGAAGTCATCGATGACCCAAACGCCTTCCCCCTTTCAATATCGCCATCCTTGGCCCGTGGCTCCCCACTTCCTCATTCCATGATGGCTGCCCCACGGCGAGACCTGGGGACGTTTTCCATAAGGAAAGGAGAGGAGCAGGTAACACATGTGCAGGCGAGCAGTGTTTTCTTTTCCTGACAAAAGAGCATTTATTTGAAAGTCAGAATGATGTGGTGTGGGGAGCAACTGGGAGCAACTCGGACTAGACTAAGTTACTGGAATTAAGACTTATTCTATGCATCTGCTCTCCCACAATATGGCGCTGGGAGAGGAGGAAACAGCTTCTACTCAGCTGCCTCCAGTTCAACCAATAAACAGCAGGACCTGCTCCTGATTGGAGGAGAGCAGCGTACTCGGCGTGTGGGTAGCAGAGTTGGGATTGGTGGAAGAAGACTATAAAGGAGGAGAGAGACAACATGCACCAGGAACATCTATCTGAAGGAACACCTGTGCAGCCCCCGAGAGAGCCGGCCGGCGGTGTGCCGCTCCCCTGCGGAAGTGGGGAAAGTGGCAGGGGGAACCACCCTTCCACGGAGGTGGAAGGGACGGTAGCCAACCCGGGAAGAACCAGCAGCAAACCCGGGAAGGGCCGAGCAGACAAAAGAACAGCGCAGGGTCCTGTGTCATTCCTCCGTGAAGAGGGGGAGCGACATAATGGTGCCGTGACTCGGATATGAAGCCTAGGCAGGGTTTAGTGTCATTCCTCCACGAAGAGGGGGAGCGACAATGTGGAGAGAGGGAGAGACCGAGGGAGTTTCCATTTCCCCTTTCCCCAAATGGCTACAGTGGCCAGGTGTGGGCCAGGTGGAAGCCAGGAGCCAGGAACCTCATCCAAGTTGCCCACACAGGTCTCAGGAACCCAAGCACTTGAGCCATCATCTGCTGCCTGCTATGTATTAGCAGG